GCCTATGCTTTCGACTGATTTATTTCTGTTACCGTACCGTTGTGACAGGCTGTGAACGCACGTTTTTTATGTCATCCACGAAATATGGGAGTTTGCGGTAGTGCTGAATTGCATATCATCTCGTGCTCCATTGGTCCGGAATTCATCAGACGGCATATGGCAAATGCAGCAGGTTCTGCGTCTACCAGAGGGACAGTGGGAGGAGGGGAGTAGTGGTGGTTTAGCGCAACACCCTTTTCATTCGAAATCAGAAGTTAGAGATTTATCCTTACCAGTTTCCACATGGACGGGCGTTTTACCAGCTCACATTTGTGCAATCATGAATGCGTACTTCACGTAAAACAGTCGGCGTTTCCATCTGTAAGCATCTGGTCAAATAAGTTACCGCTCTACAGCGGTGACACGAAGAGACATCTTAAGGCATACTAGCTTCCCGCCGTCAAAACTCCGTACGACAAATATATCGTATTGATCGCATTTTGTTCTTACCAGAACCTAATTAAAAGTTAATTTAATGTCGCCTCGCACGCGTATAAGGTACAGTGCTTTCCAAACTTGACGCCGCCGTCTACAGAATGATCGAGACACACTTAAACATATTCAGTGCCCTTGACGTCGTTAGATCACGCGATGAGCTACGCTTCGTCATTCGGAAGCTAGCTGCGCGCATCGACAGTGACCCACTACCAGGGGATCCCTTGAGCCCCTTTTAGTCCAGATGCTTGCTCTCCATAGTTCGCCTCCTCGTGGGACTGACGGGAAGCTTATCGCACGGCGCGAGGTTCAATTTCCGCTGCGTCGCTTGGTAAATCCCGCTAATAACGAGGAAGTATCATTAACTAATACAAAATATGCTTCTGTGAGCTTCGTAAGCTTATCCGTTGCCTGCTATGCGTTACACATGCATTATGTCGCCTTGGCTTGCGTGTAACAACTTTTCGTGACGCTCGAGCGTAACGCTTTTTGTATGATAGAAGACCGTCACTTTGTGTTTAGTTACTGTTCTGTGTTCGGAATAGTTTCTAAGACTGGGTAGAGTCGCGCTGGCAGGTTTATCGTTCCAGATGGGCCTTTGCACAGTCATTGTCTATAGTTATCCGACCTTTATGTCACATTCCATTGGAATTTGGCATCCAACAACCGTTTGACGGTTATTTAGGCACTCCCACCCCTGCGTTCTTTATTCTCAAATGAATAGGGTTAAAGGCACCAAACTCTGGTTCCCCTTGTTTACGCTTCATTGAAGGTGAAGAGTCCGCACCAGAGCACCTCGCGTCGCGGGGAAGCGACATTCTGAAAACCTTTGCGCATGTATAATGTTGTTGCTCAACTCTGAATATACGAAAATTATTGATAAAAAAATTAACATCTAAGCGATTTGGGAAACCTAGCTATGACACGGTAAGCAGGATGCTTATAAGTAATAATAATAATAATAATAATAATAATAATAATAATAATAATAATAATAATAATAATAATAATAATAATAATAATATTAATCTTCGATATAATAATAACAATAAACTTCAATATAAGCGTCACCACCTAACTCGAACACTTGACACTCTTCCGTAGCCACAGCTGAAGAAAACACGTTGAGAGATGTTGGGTATATGCGTAGGAAAGCTTTTTCTTATAGCTATTTTTACATTGATTGCTGTCGATGTCATCTTAATCGGAGAAAGAATCGTTCTTATTTCTTTATTTGAGTCTGTATCACCAAGATGAACTCAAGAACATATTTTTGAAACAGAAGATACTGCGTTAACTGGTTAAGCGACCGCCAAGCTGTCGGGCCCTTCGTACAAGATGACCCGGTAACACCTTCGGAAGGGGACCGGAGAATACGCCGAAGTGGTGCGAGCTTAGCTTGATTGACAGAAACGAGAAATTTCGAAAGAGCTCCAAAGCCAGGATCAAGGGACTCCTACCCACTGCCTTCACGACAGCAGATTTTTACCGGCTCAGTATCCATGACACTTTAAATCACCGTTTAAACTCCTTCCCCCAAATAAAACAGTATTGTCCACAGAAATAAAAATAAAAACTGCGTTCAATTTACTCGCTTTCTTTTTTTTTTTTTTTCGACAGCGGTGGATAAACGACTAGTACTCTTTGGAGGTTGCCCTTCGTTCCAAACAAGACGACAATGAGAGTGACAATACTCCGCGCGTGATCTCAATCCCAATTTCGACTCCGCGGGGGCACGGAGAAACGGGGACAGGCGGGCGCCGTCAACCGACTGCAAACAACTTGAGGCATGTGCGCCATACGCTCCCTGCATGCATACGCGGGCCCGCGCCATCCTTGACACCATCACTTCCCTCCTTTTACGAGCCCGGGAGAGGAAGATCGCAGCGGCCTTGATTAATTGCCCGCAGTGGAGTGTGGTCTCAGTCGCAGCAATCTCGGTCCCTGATTAATAGAGCTTTTGCGCTCGGCAAGCCGGGGTGTGAGAACTGCAGACGCGATCCGGGTACTTCCCCGCACGTGCGAACCCCTTTGGGTTGCGAACCCCGCTTCTGGATGGCAGCTGACAGAATTAGCCGCCGCGAAGGCGAAGGAACTGCCTCCTTCGAGAGCGGGCTTTTCGGTAGCCGCGTTCCCTGTTTTGCTGGGTTCAGAAGGATGGGGAGTCGGGACGGGGCGACCGATCGAGGAGGCTGCGTGTAAGCAGATGCTGGTAATGGAGGGCAATAATTTATTGGAACCCCGATTGTGAAACGGAAGCACACGCGATGGAACGCGCGAAGAACGGCTGGTGCGATTTTGTCGCCTTCTTTACACGTCGTTAGTTCAAATTAGTGTGGCTCTACCGACTAGACTTTTTTTATTTGCTCGTTTCATTTTATTTTACTTTTTTTTTGCCTTCAGGCTAAACGAGAGGAAACGCTTCCAAACGTATGCACGAGTTTTCTCTGTGGCGAATGATGTTTGTACGTTATTTTTAATCAAACATATGCTTTCCTTTTTTCAAATGTTGACCTGGGCTTTTTTATGTTTTTTTTAGAAGGAAGGGAAACGTAACACGTTAGCGGAAGGTCACTAAACCGGTCTCGCCACGTTGTCATCCGTTTTTGTGTCCTCCCACGATTTCCTTACCTTTACCTGTATGCCTATCGAAGCGAAATCTTGTTCTCCGTTTTTATTTGGTTGATTGAGCAGATGAAAGTACAACTGGAGTTACAACTTAGGAGACAAGTCACCCTCCTTAATACAATATGGTATCTTTATTTATCTTTCCTCGAGACTAATTCTTGGTTGCCTTTTACCTGCTTAGCAAAAGATTTGGCTATGACGTGCCGTCCGATTGCATCGTTAAGCAGACGGTATGTTGTGGTGAAACACGTTGACTATAAATTAACCCTACATACCCAAGCCTTGTTCGGCATTGTTCGGTGTGACGCCATTAATGGTTCTCCTCATTTTTATCCGGATACCTATTTTACTACCTCTATAATTTCGCCAATGGACAGCATTTTATCTGTCTGACTCAAGCTCCGACGAGCCATATCTTATTCGTAAAAAAAGGAAAGCTTGCTGCGTAATAAAATATAATAAAATATCATTTAAAATTGAAAAAGAATGTATTTCTACACCTGAAAATATAAGCCTTGGCATATTGACACGTAGAACACCCATAAAAGATTTGCTCACCGACGTTCAGAATTAGACTGTAGACAAACTGTAGCCTAGTTCACATTTGAAAAGGTCTGCGGGCACCAACCTTTCCCCCTTTTCTCCTGACCCCTCATTTCCAATATATATGTATATAAAGGAAACCACCCCCTTTAATTCCGGCACATTTGGTGTTCTCTTGCTTTTCCGCGAAACATTCTCCGTCGATCGACAGTTGGCCGCGCCGACCTTCGAACCCGGCTGGAAATCGCTCATGCCCTTGGTGTGATCCACAATCCAGAGTCTGGGGGGTCCGCATTCGTCGAGGAATCCATCTTTTCGCGACGCTCCTTCCGCGGAAACTTGCCACACCGGCCGGACGCTCGTCCTTGCGCGAGTCAAAGCAGCTTAGCGAAGCCCCGCTGCCCATTACTCATGGCGCCCGTCGTCTCCGCGTGCTCCTCCTCGGGGACTTCTCTTCCCTCCGCCGTCGCGTCCCCGATAGCCCGGTACGGCACGCGGTTGCGACTGCTTCGATGCGGTAGGATTTTTGGCGAAAGCTCCCGAGAACGTGCGCGTGCACGCACCGCGCATTTTTTGGCCGGGACTCTTGCCCTTCCGAGCAGAGACCTTCGGGGAGGCGGTCTGAATCTGTTATCCGGTTTGTCTCTGTCACCTCTGCTCGTTTACTTTTGGGACGTATCGCAGACGTTGATCCTACAAATGGGAGCACTTGGCGCCGTTTCCAATGCCAGTCTCAAGTCTGACTTCCTTGTGACAGAGTCTGACGTAACCTCTCGGACTGTAACGTGCTCGTTGGAGCGAGAGTTTTAACAACGGGTTTCAATCGCACATTTCAATGAAATACTTAAGGGAAAAAAAAAAGAAAGACGTGTTTGTTTCGATTGCGCAATCCTGTTTTGACAAAATTTGTTGTGTGGTTTTTTACATAACATTTTGGCAGTTTCAGAAGGCAGGTGATGGCCGGAAAGGCCAACTTTGAGTCTCATAAATAAAACTGTGCATTTATGTAACTGCATTTTGTTTGTGGTGTTGTTGCAACATGTAAAAATAACACTCGGTCAGTTCGTGCAGGTGCAATTATTACGAACAATACAAATCATGCGAATGGAGATTTACCTTTTCGGTGTTTCCAAATATGGATTGCGCAAAATAGTATTTTCAAGCTACCCTCAGGAGCCGGCCTATACAGTTCAAAACAGAGAATGGTTGAACCCTGAAGGCAATTCAAACGAGTGGCCGGTTTCTAGCACTCAGCGGTTAGCAGCACCCATAAAAGATATGGCAGATAGCAATTTCGGAGCATCTTCAGTGCTGGTGCTCACGTGTTTCTTCCCTTCTCGTCCGTTTCCCTGCAGTTCCAAAGCCGGACTACGGCTTCACGAGCGGCGCCAACCAGGGCGGGCCCAACGGCACGGGTCGGACCAACTTCACCACCAAGCAGCTGACGGAGCTGGAGAAGGAGTTCCACTTCAACAAGTACCTGACGCGAGCGCGGCGCATCGAGATCGCCACGGCGCTGCAGCTCAACGAGACCCAGGTCAAGATCTGGTTCCAGAACCGCCGCATGAAGCAGAAGAAGCGCATGAAGGAAGGCCTCATCCCGCCGGAGTCCTCGTCTGACGGGGCGCCGCCCGGCGCGTCGCCAGGAAAGCTGTCGCCGCCGTCGCCCCAACAGAAGGACAGCCAGTAGGACGAGGCGTCCCCCACCCACACTTACACGGAGACACAACGTGCGGCCAAACTGCTGCCTGCATGCGAGTCCGTTCTAGGAGAACCAGCGCCGCCGGCCCGACCGCCGAGACGCTCGGAGCAGAGACGAAGAACTGCGGACGTCTAGAGGAACCCTTGGCGCGTGTCCTCGAGGAGGGAACCAGCCCCCAGACGTGCGACTGTGACCTCCAGGCGCCGTGAGTGTTCGCAAGCGCCGTCTGGGTCTCCGCCCAGTGCTCCTCGCTCGTCGGTCTGCGTGGGTGGTTTATTTATAAGTGCTGTGGCTGGCCTGGGCTGAGTTGCTTGACCTCTGCCGTGCGCGGCGGCGGGTGCTGTACGTGGGAGGTTTGCTGCTGCCGCTGTGGGTAAGGTTAGACACACTGGACGAGGGCGAAGCCCAAGCAATCTTGGAATCAGGAAAGGTTCCCCGAATCGAGGATAATGTCTACATTTGTTTTTTTTTTTTTTAAATGGCAGGATTCGTGGCGTACGGCTTTAATCCCGTCCACACAGATCTTCGGTAAACGTACATTAGGTTTCTCAATTCCGAAAACGCTCTATTAAATTAGATTGGAGCGCACCGGTCGCGATGATCAGCTTTAGTGTGTTCCCGCTGCAAGAACATATTCATGTATGTCGACGTTTTCATTCCGTGTCGTCTTTGTAAGCTGCTTTAGCACCCACAAGTTGCAAACGAACGTAAGCTACAATATCTCACATTGCTCGCCAGGCGTAAACTACGTTAGTCAGCAGAATTACATTAATCCTTAGCGTCGAACGCCCCTATCTGAAGGTCTAAAATGAGCAAACATAGATAGGAAAAAAAGAGACACCTAAGAATACACGCACCTCTCAATGCCATATTAGGATAAATGAGTATTCTGCGAATCATGGATAAAGAGGTAGATAAACGATAAAAAAGGCGTAGTCTGATTTATGTTATACCCGATCAGGCAGCTAGCTGCCTTTCCCCACGAATAGCCCCGCCGCTCTTCACGCGAGGACAGACGACCCAGCCGTGAGAACGCCGCCCCAGGACTCGAGCCCTGCTCAAAAACCACAAGCAGGGATTACTGCTCATCAAAGTGCAATGCCTTTCTCTCTTGTTCCCTCGACAATACAGAGAAGAAACTGCAGCACCTCTCTCTCTCATTTGTGCATACATGGACAAAGGATGAACACGACGTGGAACTTTCTCTGTGGCATAGAAAGTCCTCGAAACACAAACTCCCAGTGATGATGACCGTGCGCGCATACTGTGATCCGTCGGAAAGAGTTTTCTCTGTCTCTTTTTTTTTTCTCGTCTTTTATCCCTTTTCGAATGCATGCTTTTTGCCGTGGCAACGTCCTTGGCGAATGCCCCTTTCGCGCTTGGCGCCTTCCGAAGACGAACGTATTTTTGTTGGCGTGTATGTCCGTGTCCATCACGTCATTTCTTGCACATCTGGAAGAAACGAGTGTCTTGTTTTACACGCTAGGCGGCATTGCATCTTTGTTGTCGCCTCTCTGAACAGGGTATCTACACGAACATAGGCTATATGTCGAAGACAAGAATTGCTTTCTTTTTACTTCTTTTATCATAACCAGAACAAAATGTGAGGAACAGCGGAAGAAATTCTGTTAGGCAGAATTTTTGTAGCCTTAATGTTGTACAAACAAATCAGCCAGCGGAATATCCAGGGATAATAAATATGACGCTAATAATAATTCAAACCTAACCCACTTTTTGTTTTGTTTTGTTTTGCAATAGACATTTTTTTTTTTTTTGTTCCCACCATTGGTCATTTGGTGAAACCAGTTCTTTGGCCCCAAAACTTGGATGCGTATCATGCCGTGTTTAACAGGGTGACAGCGTCCTATGAGGTTCAACAGTACGCACTAATCATTATTTAAAACCGATTAGATTATTCTGTGAGCCTGGATTTATCGTCATGCGCTCAACACAGTAGATTCGTATTTAAAGCCGTTTAGTCAGTCAACCATACTTTCAACTTGGAAGTCTTTACCAGTGCACGGAACTGTCGCGCGAAATGTTATGAATAGCGTGTTCAAAGCATACGTTCTTCCCAATTGAGGCATGTGAGTCGTTCTGTTACCTAGGCAGCCGAAAGTAGTACCATGGCTCGATCTACGAACAATAAAACAATCTTCTTTTTTTTTTTTATGAGGAATTAAGGGCAAACGTTTTACGGAAAGGGCAGTGACTGCTAACCAATAGATGGGACTAAGGGGCTTATTAATGTATATAAACCAGCTATTTATGAAGCAAACCGACCCCGGATCTTCCAAACAAGACGTACAAGAAGAGAGGGGTACCTGTTATACACACAAAATAATAACTGCCTCGGTACTGCGCTACACAACTGTAGATGAAAGAAGACATCCCTCAATTCAATTTTCGAATGCGAAGCGCCAACAACAGCAAAGTTTAAAATTAGTTGCGATAATTTGGATCATAAAGTTATGAGGTAACGACCTAACAAAGTAGGAATTTCTAGTTTTACCTCACTGCCTTGAAAGTTAAAGTGACCAAAACAGCTATGAACGCTACTTACTGACATTAATTTACGATTCAATATGGCCGTGACACAGACAATACCGATGCACACATGCGATGTAGCGCTGTCAACCCAAGATGCAGCTTGCGTCAGAAACGCACCGAATTTGAACGGTATATGCACATGAGCAGAATTTAACATTAATACGAAGTCACCTTACATTAGAGTCGTAGTAGAGTACATTCTGAGGCATATGCAGTATTTTTCCGTGTGTGGTGCTCGCTGGCTTCGAATACGCGATGCTAAGGGTTTGAGACGACTGACGTCCACTACGCGGTAGACAGCAGTTCTCTCTGGAATGATTTGAAATTTTTTTTAAGAAAAACTTTGGAATTATTGAAATTATAATGCTGCCCGAAACTACAATAAATGCACTGACTTTGAGTGTAGTGGAAGCATCCGCTCCGTATATTCGCGGGTGAGGAACAAACAAAACCCAATAAAACACTCAATGTTAGTTTCGACGGGATTTCCGCTGTCAGGGAGACGCGCAGTACACACGGAAAAACACTGAATATTTTTTTTTTCTTAACCTGAAACCCGGAGCAGGTCTCAAAACGTTGCTTCAAGTATGATTGTCACGATTCCGCACATACTTCTAAAAATAGGAATCACAGAGCCTATATTTTTGCGACTGCAAATAATTTACTTTTTCCGAAAGCAAAGAAGAAAAAAAAAGTGTATATGTTGCTCAGTGTAAATAGCTGTTCTTTCTCCAGAATCGTGCACGATCTTTATAGATAGAAAAATGATTCGATGGCAAGATATTGTTCTCGAACCAGCGAACTTGCACGCGAATACACGACGTACCAATCGGAGAAATCAGGGTCATGGAGCATGCGAACGGGCATATTTTGTGTCGTTCGGTGCTCCAGTCATTCTCTAAATATATATATATATATATATATAAATATATAAATATATGAAATATATATATGTGAGCGCAGAACCGAATTATGTACAGCTTTTACGAAGCTCCGTGTACAGTTTCTACCGCCCCTCCATACCCACGTCAACTCCCTGCCCGTTCAAACTCCTCGACGTCGAACAACCCTCCCTTTTCTGTCCTCAATCAAAACCACGTGTGCACGCCACCCGCGGGGCCTCGCAAATGAACAGGGTATTTCCTTGGGCCTCGACTCGTGCACATTTTTTTTTTTTTGCTTTGAGTGTTTAAATGTCCCGCCCTCATTTTCCAGGTGCCTCAACAACAGACTTTACCGAGATATTTTCAGCAGGATGTCCGCCAATTTGGCTAAGCTGTTTTCCTTTTCTTTGTTTTGAAACTGTGGCCGTTCACCTTTTTCCTCCCCGCCGTCTGTCACGAGCACTTTCTCGTTTTAACTTATTACGTTCCCAATAGGGAGTTCTTTGGTTCTGTAGACCAACCGAATAAAAAGTTGAAACTCGAACCTTGACTTTGTCCTTTATGCCGTTTCTACGCGCGTACATTTTTTTTTATTGTAGAAACGTGCGAAGTACTGCAAGTAAACGGAGATTCACTTTTGATTGCCCCGTAGAGTTAGAGCTGAATTAGCCTCGAATGCTTTTCTTCGCATATCCGTCATACGGCAACACAGCATAGAAAGGGGGATCGGTGGCCGGGTGTGTTAACGCAGCGCAACTCTGAGCACGTGGAGCGAAAGCTTGCGCTGCACAACACAGGATCCTGGGTTCGATCCCCACCCCTGCCCGTTTCGATCTGGATGACCATCGTACCGGCGTGCGTGCGTGTGGGTTAACTTTAACGGGTCCGGCGGCGTGCGTGTGGGTTAACTTTAACGTTAACTACTGTGTGGTTAACGTTAAAGACCCCCAGGCTAGCGGTTGGACTGCATCGGCCAAATTTCTCATCTACAGTTGGCACACCAGGGGCCCATTGAGGCTAACTAACTTCCGGCTGTCTAAACACGCATACACTACGATTATACTTCACGAAGCATAGTCATCTAAAAGCCAAACACGGCGTTCTTCTGGGCCGTTTCTTTGTGATATGTGTAAGCTGCATATTGCGTCTTTTTGTACACGCATCCACCCTCAAGACGTGTATAATTTTGCCATTCGAGTGTTTAGGCACTTGGTCCGCGTTCCCTTCCTACAAGATATCTAATGGCTGGCTTACACCCCTAAATAAACTTAGAGCCCGACACAAATTGGTGAACCAAAATTGCGCGGAACATGAAGCACCACACAAAAACAAAAAGCGATTGATTATTCAGAACTGCATGCCACGCCATCACAAACCTCGAGACGTCCCAATTAAAGGGGGTCAAATAATACAGGAAGTGAAGCTTGCCGCATCGAGTTCCCTCCCTGAAGCTCCTTGTCACACTCCTCTCCAAAACGAGCGCGTATACCTGCGGCTGCTCTTTCTATTCTGCGTGCACAGTTCCCGTATACGCGTCAAGTTTGACGCAGCACCGGCGCCCACAATGCAGAGGAAACTTCGCCTTGAGAACTCGCAGAGGCGGCCGGCGAAGGGCCCACCGGCGTTGGCATCTGCAATCAAGCCCTCGAATCTCTTCCCCTTCGTTGATTCTCCGCATTCTCGACAGCGCTGTGGAAGAGCCGCTGAGCCAATTTGAGACGCATTACCCGCGCCGAGCTCTGCCCTTCTTTACTATCAGTGCGTATGATCTGCGTTTTTTTTTTTTTTTTTTTTCTTGGCTTTTGTTTGCGCCGCTCTTGGCTCTTTTCCTATTATGCGTTGTAGTTTCTCGGTTTATTACCTCCGCATCTGAACGCGACTGGCAGAGACAGAGCGGAGTTCTCCAGCAGTGAGCGCCAGTTAAAAACGCCTACAGAACCTGAAATATAACGTCATTTAGATGATTAAACGTAAGTAAGATAAATAATGCCAAGAAAAAAAATTGGTTATCTATTTTGGGAGAATAATTTACAGTCTCCCCCTCAATCTAAACTTAGTAAAGATGGGACATCCTAAAAGTTTGACCTCCCGATGCTTTACTCTTTCTTAGGACGTTTCACTGCGTCTGCATTCCTTCCTGATATTAATAAAGAGTTTTGGTAGAACATTGCGATACCCTCCGGCCCCGATGCCTCCGATAACAATACGAGTGTCGGGACTAATCACGTCTTGCATTTCGTAATCCCTAAATGACTCTAGTATATGCCGACTCCGTACCGCTGGAAGTTTTAAAATTACAGACCAAGCGTGAAAAAAAAAACTTCAAAACTAATTCAAATGAGGCTTGTAAGATATCAAGATCTGTACAACTAAACCTTGCAGCGACTTGACCTTGCTGCTGCTATCTGTTGGACAGCGCGACAGAAAAAGACCGAGTAAAAATTGCCAACAAAAACCATATATATTTGTTAATAATAATAATAATAATAATAATAATAATAATAATAATAATAATAATAATAATAATGACTTTATTTTCAGTGCACAAAAACAACCACAGCGGTCTTCACTTTGGTGCACCTGTTCAATCCTAGAAACACGTTGGTATATTACCATCACCCAAAAACAAATAAACAAACAAAATGTTATCAGTAAATTACAAGGTTATTCAACTGATGGCGGTACAATGAAATGGATGTACAGAAATCGAGGTGCTTAGGAGCAATGCTGTTGTATAATACCTGAATCCGAGAAAGCGGTGAAGTACAACAAGGTGAACGTACATCAAAGCATACGGGATGTCTAGTATGGCGTAAGTTAACATGAAAATTAACTTTGCTGAGCATTGATGGCGAATCAATTACACTATTCACAACCTTATGCAAAAATACAAAATCATGAATCGTTCGCCTTTCAGACAAGAGTGTAAGCGAAAATGACCTAAGTATGTATTCATAGTCATAATAACAGCGCCTTTCAAAGTACCTATCGTAAACATTACGAATCAATCTTTTTTGAACATTTTCGATGGTCAAGGCCTGTGCCCTAGATATTGAGTTCCATATTACCGAGGAAAATTCCAAACGTGACCTAACTAAAGATTTGTAAAGATGTAACAAACAATGAGGCCTCCTGAAATTCTTCGACAAACGTGATATGATTCCCAGAACTCTCATAGAACTTCCTACCACAAAAGATACATGATTTCTAAAAGACAAGGCACTATCAACGTACACGCCAAGATCCTTCACACACAGTACACGTTCAATTGGCATGATATCAAGATGATAAGTAAAACTGAAAGGCACATGGCGTCGGCACAAGGATAGGACCTTTGTTAAGAAAGGTAAAAAACACAGGCGAGCTGGTGAATGGTATCCATAATAACCCTGAGACGAAGGAAAAATAAAAAAACGGACAGTACAACGAATAACCCTGAGACGAAGGAAAAATAAAAAAAAACGGACAGTACAACGAAGTCCCGTTTTGTATTCCCCGTTTTTTTTTTGTTTTTTTTTTTTTCCTTCGCCTCAGGGTTATTATGGATATATTTGTTCTTTTTTTTAATTTTGACGCGTTTACGGGGGTGACAGACCACCGGATGGGCATTTTATCTCAAACAAGCGACTGAAGCGCCGTGATATGGTTGCGGGCAAAAAGGACAGCAGTCATCCCACTTCCTGCATAGTGGCATTTAATACATAACCAAAAATCGCTCGGAAAAAGTTATGTATCTTGAAGACAACCTTGACTGCTAACAGAATTTCCAATATTTCCGCTTCTTGTCACTTTTGATGAATGGTTAACACTGCTACGTAATTTATTCTCCCCTTTCCTCTCTTTGCGAAGGTTTTGGTATTAAAATGCTACAAAAATCTTGTTAGGCGGAGAGAAGCAAACAGCTTACAAAAATGCATGAAATACCAATACTTCGCCAGGAATCTATTTTATTACGCGTGTAATTATAATCTAGAAAAGTATTAATTAGCATAACACAAAGACAACTAGAGACATTTGTTCATTTAGAGACAGGCTTACACTAATATATCGGGTTGACTTTTTAACATTGAGTAAAAATAAAATAAAATAAACTCCTGAAGGCCTGGATATATACACGGGGTGGGGTACATATATTACGAAAAAGGATAGTCCCAACTAAAGAAATAAACTTTATCTCAAAATGAGGTATAAGATCAGACAAAACATATGCATTTTAGGCATATCAGGGAGTAAAAACATTTAATTTAATGAGTCCGATCGCTCTATTGTGTGAAAGTGGAAGGGAGTTAAGCAGTCCTGTAGGATTGCTTTTCCGCAAACACACAAAAAGCGGGACACATTTTTTTTTTTAAATTTTATTTTCATTACACAAGTTTAGTGCAAACTCATATGCCAATGTTTCATAAAATGTCTAACACGACTTTAAAAATAAAATATGTAAAATAATATTAAGAGTTAGTAACGGTCACGAGGCAATCTGCAACCCCCCCCCCCCCCCCTCAGAAATAAAAGAAAAAAACAGAGATATACTAAGTATGCAAATCTCTTGCTACTCTTTTTTTGTGTTTGTTTTACTGAAAACTTGGCATGTAGTACAAGAGGCCCAGGAATATCTAACATTTTATTCGAAATAAACTTTTCAGTCTTTAAATAAAATTGACGAATAAATTTTGTAATGTTTAATTGAATACGAAGTATAAAATGACCAAAGGACTTTTAATACGCCCTTCAAACACTTGTACTTGAAACCCTCCTCACTCCCGTTCTCAGCCGAGTAAACTTCATTCAGATCTCACAGTCACGCATGAACGGCGAGAAGTTTCGGAGTCGCCATCTTGCCCGGCACAACCCAAGGTGATGGATCCCCCGACTCTGACGTCACTTCTCAAAGCAGGGGCCCTAAGCTGGACACTTGGCGACAACGACGGCGAGAAATTTGGCGGCCGCGATTGGCCAACGCCACACTTGACCTTGGCGCCGGCCAATTGTAGCCGCCGAATTTCTCGCCGACTTTTCCGCCAAGTGTCCAGATTAGGGCCCCTGAACGGTTCTTTTACAGCGAAGCTGTATATGACTTGTAGTCCGGACTTTTTCTGTCCGTCGACAGAAAACCATCGCCCGCGCCTCATCACCGTTCGCGCGCGCCATATCTCTTATCATGTGTTTTCGAGACTTGTTCCAATAAGAAAACCACAAAACAAGTGTCAAAACCACGTGATAGGTGATAAGCACGTAGTGCTTCCCGCGTGCGTTTCTCGCTAAAGATTGCGGTTGCATAAGTTGCCGCGGCAACGGCAGAGTACGAAGTGTGGAGTGACGTCACTATCCCCGCTAACAATGCGAAGCACGTAGCACTCCCCGCATGCGCTTCACGGTAAAGATTGCGATTGCATAACTGCCACGGCAATGGCAGCGTACGAAGTCTTTCATCTATAAAAAAAAAAGTTTTGATACGGTGCATATACTTTTCTTTCGTCAACCATTTGGTATAGAGGCTTTTGCTGTTTACAACATGAACCGCTGGTTGCGTCCCAAGCGACTTCC